TATGAGGTGGGGATAGTACGTTGAGTGGTAAGAGGCAGGAGGGAGGATAGATACGTTAGTGGTAGGGAGGAGTGAGGGGTGATAGGAGCGGTATGTAAAGAGTGAAAGGGGAATGATAGTACGTTAGTGGTAGTAGGAGTGAAGGTGATAGTACTGTTATTGGTAGAGAGGAGTGAGGGAGAATAGTACGTTCAGTGGTAAGGGAGGAGTAGAGGGAGGATAGTAGCAAGTGGTAGGAAGGAGTAGGGTGCATAGTACGCTTAGTGGTAGGGAGGATGAGGGAGGATAGTACGTAGTGTAGGGAGGATCGAGGGTGATAGTACGTTAGATGGTAGGAGGAAGTGAGGATAGTATAGTTACGATAGGAGTGAGGGGGGATAGTAACGTTAAGTGGTAGGGAGGAGTGAGGGAAGGATAGTACCGTTAAGTGTAGGGAGGAGTGAGGAGACAGTACGGTAGTGGTAAGAAGAGTGAGGGGATAGTAACGTTAGTGGTATGAGAGCAGTGAGGGGGGATAGTACGTTACACGATAGTAGTATATACACGATAGAAATAATATACTAGTGGCTCTATATTTTTATAAGATGATACACATGCCTGATAGGGAGTAGTGTGGGGGTGGCAGTATTTTGATGTAAGAGGAGTTAGAGGGAATAGTAAATACGCTCCTTGGAAGTATGTTAGTGGTACGGAGAAGTGAGGGGTGATAGTACGTTAGTGGTAGGGAGACAGTGAAGGGATAGTAACGTTAGTGTAAGTTAGGAGTGAGGTGGGATAAGTACGTTAGTGGGTAGGGGAGGAATTGAGGGGAATATAGTATTAGTGAGTAGGAAGGATGAGGGATAGTACGTTATGGAGGGAGGAGTTGAGGGGATAGTAGCGTTAGTGGTAGGGAAGGAGTGAGGGATAGTGATTAGTGTAGGAGGAGTGCAGGGGATAGTACCTAGTGGTAAGCGGAGGAGTGAGGGGGATACGTACGTTAGTGGTAGGGAGGAGTGAGGGTGATAAGTACGTTAAAGTAGTAGGGAGGAGTGAGGAATGATATGAACGTTAGTTAGGTAGGAGTGAAGGGATAAGTAACGTTAGTGAGGGAGGAGTGAGAGGGATAGTACGTGTGCTTGGAGGGGGTGAAGGAAAGATTGATAGTACGTAAGTGGTAGGAGGATGAGGGGGATAGTACGCACAGTGGTAGGATGAGGAGTGAGGGGGAATAATACGTTAGTGTAGGGAGAGTGAGGAATGATAGTGACGTTAGTGGTAGGTTAGGGAGGAGTGAGGGGGATAGTACGTTAGTGGTAGGGAGGAGTGAGGGGGATAGTACGTTAGTGGTAGGGAGGAGTGAGGGGGATAGTACGTTAGTGGTAGGGAGGAGTGAGGGGATAGTACGTTAGTGGTAGGGAGGAGTGAGGGGATAGTACGTTAGTGGTAGGTAGGAGTGAGGGGGGATAGTACGTTAGTGGTAGGGAGGAGTGAAGTGGGAAAGTACGTTAGTGGTAGACAGAAGTGGACTGGGTCTTAAACCCGGCCCGGGCATCCGTCACCTACCCGGTCACCCCATTGTTCATGAATATGTTTAGTAGCGGATCCAGGATTTTAAGGAGGGGGTGGTGAAAAACAGGCGGGCGGTAGGGGGGTCCTCCCACAAAAAATCACGACAATTATCCTTTTAGTAGAACAATTCTTGCGCTTGCAGCGTGAGTTGTTTTAAGTGACGATTTTCTTTTAAGTCGTCTTACGATTTTTGCTCAAATTAAAATTGTGATAGTAATGTTTTATCAATATTTTTTCTTGCTCAAATTAGCATTGTAATGATGCTTAATTTTATTAACAGATTTTTGTGTGTGTTATGTGGAATAGTATTTACTTGTTTTTCTAATATAGCTAATACCACAGCATTTACTTGTGTTTTGCATTTATTTTACCAATGTCAGTGTTAATCTAGTTATATAAAACAGCTTCGTGTAATCTGACTATGGTTTAATTGAAGAAAGCACTAATTAAGTGTAGGAAGCTAGCAGCAGCACAACTTACCTCACTCGACCGCTGCCAGTGCGACACTGACTAACAGACTGCTGGCTGTTGAGGGCCAGAGGCGTGTTTTCACTGCTCAGCTAAGGCGCGTTCCATTTTAGTTTCAATCTTAGTGCAGCGGCTATGACTTCAGTTTTTAGTGACATTTTTTGCTGCTGTTTTTTTTTACCCAGCCCACCGGCCCACCGGCCCACCGGCCCACCGGGCATTGCCCAAATGCCCGTATGGCCAGTCCGCCTCTGGTGGTAGAGAGGAGTGAGGGGGATGGTATTATGGTGGTAGCGAGGAACGAGGGGATATAGTACTCTGGTGGTAGAGAGGAGTGATGGATAGTACTCTGGTGGTAGGGAGCAGTGAGGAGATAGTACGTTAGTGGTAGGAAGGATCAAGAGGGTTTAGTACATTGTTAGCATGGAAGAGTGGGGTGGGGGGGGGCTGTGGAGGAGTGGGAGGTAATATGCTGATGGTATGAGGGCGCATGGGGACGGTGCTGCTCGGTCTCGGTGACAGGAGTTCTTTGTTCATCCATCACGAGAGCAAATGAATTGATTGAGTGGGATGAAGCCAACGACTGCCGCAGCCGCTAATTTGCAGCTATTCTCGGCGCGCATAGCCGTGTAGATCGCACCGTATACGTGCGACAAATATCTTTCGCCCATTACGCGGTCATGTCGGCTGTAAATACACAACTGCTAGATATTAACGCATCAAACATGGGTTTTTTACTTCGTCGGGGGGTGGCACGCGCGCTTCAGGGGTGACCCTAGCAGGGTTAGTGCGCAGGGTTGGGGACCGACTCCGTGGTAAGAAAGCTTGGACCGAAATGGGAATAATGGCGCAACTTTTCATTATGTCACAAACATGCAGCGCCCTAATTGCCCACCAATGCCTAATGACTATGATTGTTGCGTGATCAGATTCTCATGAATCGGCGCACGAACCCGCTGCGCTCGCAGCGCTTCCCGTGCGCTGCTGCGCTACGCCATCGATCCGTCTCTGATTGCTAGCCAGTCCCGCTGTAGCGTGCGCATGCGCAGCCGACGCCACTCCGCGCACGCACAACATGCGATCTGATTGCGAGAACGCCCTCGCAGAGCAAATACTACCGCATCTATACTACAAAGTGCCCTGCTGCGCGCAGAATTCCATAGCTATAACACAAATACCCTCGCTCGGCGTCGTCCCTTAACCTGCGTGAGGGCGGCGGGAATGTTATAGCCACACACATAAACACACACGCGCACACATACACACATACGCACGCACGCACGCACGCACGCACGCACGCACGCACAAGGGGTGGTCAGATGCACCTCATGAGAGAGGGGTGTTCAGATACACCTCAGGAGGAAGGGTGTTCATATACACCTCCGAGGGGAGGGGCCGAAGTGTACGCTTAGTTACTGTATAACATAGAAGGGGTTGTCTTTATCTTTCAAGGGGAAGGGTTGCCTTTCAGGAAGGGGGGGGGGCGTACCTCTGTACGTTTCAGAGGAGAGGAATTGTCTGTCTATGTTTCGGAGAGGAGGATGCCTCAGAGAAGGGGGATCTATACGCCCACCTCCTGGGGACGTGTGGTTGTACAGACTGCAGAGGGAAGGAGAGTCTGCGTATATCGTTAGAGGGAGGGATGCCATATCATGTCATTAGTCAGAAAATGGATCCCGTAGTTCACACAGCTGGTGCGATGCCAGAGAAATCCTATAACATGCGTGACTGCGCTAGGCAATTTACATGCAGGTCGATTGGCACTCCAACCGTGCGTAACTTGTATAAATCGATGAGATGTCATTGAAAGGAGTTTGTTCATTTACACCTGAAAATCATTGAATATAGCAGTATACAGGATACATCTGAATAGACACGGTGGTAAGAAACCGCTTTCTTGTCATGCTAAAAAATCTAGTGAACCAAGTCGCATTTAGAAGATTCGAATGAAGATGAGTAATACAATTACACTGTGATCAAAATTGATGCTGGTAGGAACTAACCATAACCGATGGATTTGGTCGCTCAGCGATGTGAGGCCATGTTGCAAGCTGCACTCGTTCCATTCACGTTCCCGTATCGTGTGTATTGATGGTGTTTAAATATTGTGGTATCGTGTGTTCCTGAAGCTTAGATGATCGGATCTTGCTCACACATGACGAATGACAAGAGTGTGGATGGTCACGTCGATGACTTTTCTCTGTCACAGGTACTCACGTAAGATGGCCTGGGACGAGGCAGAGATATGGTTCGTGCGTGCGTGCGAGGTGGAGCCAGAGAACCTCACAGCTGCCTACATGGCTGTGCATGCCTTCTCCAAGCTAGTAGAGTGTGAGCTGTTGGCACTGAGCAACGCCCTGTCTGTTAAAACATATATCAAAAAAATGAAACAGCAAGCACAGCAGGTAGGCATATTATAATATATATCTATATATATAAAGTTGTTCAGCAAAATTTGTGTGTTCGCGCATAACTAGAGAACTCCGCAGCCTAGAGGAAACCTAATGATATTTTCAGAATCAGCACGTCTGGGAGGTGGTTCTGGCTGAAACAAACATTTTAAAAAGTGAAAAAGTGAAACATTCATAAAAAGCTATTGATTAATAGATGGCGGTCATGTACACGTAAACACAACATCACGCCTGAATCCATGGTGTATAAACGTGAGGGCGCAGTGAGCTCATCAGTACAACATCCGTCTGCTACACCTGGATTCTGGGTTCGAGTCCCAGCTGGGGAACTTATTTTCTCCTTTTTTCTTTTCTTTACCTACCTCTTCTAGTACTCGTATGATTTTTTATTTTTTATTTATCTTACAATTTATTAATTTATTTATTTTTTTTTTTTTCTAAATCTCTATTAATTATTTTTATTTATTAGCTGTTTGGAAATTCGGGATGTCGATGGGAAGGCAGCGGATGGCATGGATTGGGATAGGTATGGGATGGGATGCGGTGGCGGATGGGCATGGGATGATTGCGGAATGGATGGATGAAATGCATGGATACCCCGTATAGATGTACGTTAGATTTCCTGTTTTTCGCTTTTTCCCTTTACCTACCTGCTTTAGTTGATGTATTGATTTTGAAAATTCTTTTGAAATTAATGTTTGAATTATGTAATTTATTTAATTAATTATTTTTTTTGTTTTATTAATTATTTTTATTTTTATTCGCCCTACTTTTATCTTTTTGATTTCTTATCTATTTTGTTACTGTTTGGCGATGGGGATGGGATGGCATGCGATGGGGCATGCGATGGGCATGCGATGCATGGCATTGGCATGGCTAATGGGATGGGATGTGGTGCGGTGCCGAAATGGCATGGGATGCGGCATGGCATGAGCATGGCACTGGAATGTGATGAGATGGGATATGGGATGGGATGCGGTACGATGGGATAGGGATGGGCATGGCAATGTGTAATGGGAATGGATTGGATGCATTGCATGGATGAGATAGATAGTTAGGATTTTTTGGGGTATTTTCCTTCAAAAGCGGCTCAAGACAGCTGTAGGTAAGCGCCACTGATTCCGCGCCCATACATATCATCACCTGTATATGACAGAGCTATTTTGCTGGTTAGAAGTTTCTCTCAGTGTTGCTCACATCTGACACAGCAACAATGACGACAGTACGTGAGGTAGCTAGTCAGCCAAAGACGTCAAGGCCTCAATGATCATTTCAGTACAAACTTTTAAGCTCACAGAAATTGTGACAGTATATTGCAAGAAACGGATATGCTGAAAGTAAATTAGAATGTGACTTTAAGGATCTATTAAAGGTCATAATAATGAACACACTGTGCCCGGGTGAAATAAATTTGAAGCACTGCCAGCAGTCGCTCGTTCAGGTGAAAGATATTAACTGACAGTGGTCTCTAATATTGGAAAATGAGAACGCATTCGCTTTTTCGTGTAGTAATGAGATTATTTGTCGTCTCTTGGCCTGTCTAGGAGTAACCTTGAACGACCAAACGCAACGCACGTTAGTGTGTACTCATGTCAGCCGGCGGCTCACTAAGTAGAATCAAGTTTGACACTTTATTTAGTATTAGTTATAGCGAGTTAAGCGCAAGCAGTGAAATCTGTGGCCAGGCTGTCAAGAAACTCGGCAAAAGCGGTCAAGTTTTCCCCCGTGATCTGCCACGGAGGCTACTTCCACGCTGAAAGGCGTACCTGAGCCTTGCTGCCGTGGAGACCAGACAGGTGCCCGCAACAGCTTAGGAGAAAGCAACCTGGCCCTCTCGCATTCGAATTAGGTAAGCTCTCTGCTTGTTGTCATTGTTAATCGTGTTGGCTTAATATTATCAGTGAGTGAGATATTGAACTAGCTGTGCTGGTAGTTGCAAACTTCATTGTAACTGAGGCGCTGAGAGTCTCTGGTCTCCCAGGGTACTGCTCGGTAACGTACCCTGGTACCATCTAATATGCAGCGACCGTAGCCTTGACGATCTACCACTTAACCGAAGAATCTTAGGGGAGTCCGCCGCTACGCCTACTCCGCTAACCCTAAACCCATAACCATATCAGATAGTTACGCTAGGGTACATTCCGGTATACACTCGGCACCGTAAGCCAGGGTACGTTCCGTGCCGTAACCTCTGGGGGATCATAGACGGCCTATGAGCGTAACCTGAGTTTCCAGTGAAGTATACGAATCTATGCTGCACATAACACGGCGTAACACCCAATAGGCAACGCGTGTAATATTTATAGCACTGATGCACCGTGCAAAATCAGTGCAGCCTGTCTAAATAGCGGTATCCGCACAATGTAGTGAGTTTTTTTTCATTCGAGGTTTCACCAAGACACCATGGATCTTCTTATTGCAGCCCGGTAATGAAAGATCACGATAATTTACTCATCGTGTACCGGATGCATTATCATGGGTAGATCACAGCTAAAAGCGCTTAAACTTTAACCACTGCGGGCTTGATGTCGGAAGAAGAGCTGGGCTCGTGTGGTATGAGTATCATGTATCGGATCAACGAGCTAAACCTGCTAAAGCCTCACTACTAGGGCTGGTGATTGGAAGAACGATGATGGGTGGGGCAGCAGCAGTCAGGACGTGTGTTTCGATGACAGCTGCGAAGCCTGGAAGTCGCCTTGCTTCTGGCTGACGGCACGCCCACAGCTAACACGATCATGCACTGGGACGAGATATCGGAGATGATGGGAAGCGACATTCAAATTTCTCTTCCCGACGTTCCACGAACAGGGTCGCCCGACGCTAATCCGACGGAGCAACAGGGGAGGCGGGAAAATGACGACGACATCGGCTGCTAGATATGCACAGCACATGCTACTCGCACGATAGACAAGAGTAGTCATCATTTAATGGCCGTGGTGTTTGTTACGTAGCGGCCCTTTCTCTAGTAAGGTTCTCTTTGAGAGGGTTTTTAATTTCATGAGAGCTGGTGTCATGACTGGTCGCTAAGATTTTTAATGTGCTGTCAAATGTGTTTTTTTTGTATTATCTGTCCTTGAATTTTCACCGATATCTCTA